ATTACTGAAACCCAAATGAAGGCTGAGCATGATAGTGGGACAAGAGGAAAGTAAAAGGAAATAGAGGAAAGAACTAGGAGGCCAAGGGCATTTATAGAGGTCTAAATACAGGCATGTGCATTTTTCTTTTCTTTTTTGTTGTTAGCTCCTAACATTCTCTTTAAATGTGATCACTTCCTTAAAACTCTAATTTCCCCTGGTCTCTTATCTTTTCTTTTAAATAATTGCTGATCTTTTGCTGTCTTGCTGATCTTAAGTATGACACTCATCTTATGGGTCCTATCAAAAGTATCTGCTCTTTGTATAAAGGCAATCTTAGGGGATCGGCTCACTTCTAGGTCTAACAAGTACTGCTCCAGTTTACCTGGATTTTTTTGTTGTTGTGTAAGAATTTGAATTCTCCATATTTTTGCCCCTCTCTACCCAAGACCAACTTTATGCCTCTGGTCAGAACAGTTAGTGGTTGTTGCCAAACATCATCGAGTTCTGTGAGATGATCTTTAGAAGATGAGGTTGTGGTTTGTGTAGACCTGTTTTTTCTCTGAGCTTCTGGTGACCTTCTGACTGTGTGACTCCTGATGAGTAGAGATTCGTAGTTGTGTTTTAGACTACTGCTTGGAGGCTCTTAAGACCCCAGAAGCTACTCGCTTTGCTAAGATGCAGATCATGATTTTTGCTAACTACTAAGACTATGGTCCTGAGCTGTCAAACTTAGAAGGGCAAAGTTGGACTATATGTCTGTATTTGTGTCTTCAATTTCTATGTAAGGGTGGTTCAAAACGTTTGTGGAAAAGTGGAATTTTTCCTCAAGCTTTTTGAAGCCCCCTCATATGTTCCTGTAACCACGTATTTTTATTTGCATGTTGCATATAGATACTTCTGTCTGTTCTCATCTATGTACATTCTTGTCCCTACCTATGTACCAGTTTGTCTGTGCCCACCCATAAGTGCTCAAATACTTTGTATTTACTTTGGCTGTATTACACTGATAACATATATATTTAGGGCTGCTTTTACCATCAACAAAATACCACTAGACTATACTATAAAGCATACTTTCCCTATCCCTCCCTCCTGGTCCACCAGTGATCTTTGGTTTCTATTTATCGCTTCTTATTTTCTAAAAGAAGGGCCTGAACATCTTTGTCCTTAAATGTTGGGCTTATCTACTTAGCACGATACCCACCAGGTCCATCCATGTTCAGTGGTTCTAATACTTGGCATTCTTTTTTATGATTGTGTAGAATTCCATGGCTTGTATTTATCACAAGTTATTTTGTTTTACTTAGCTTTTATTTTAAGCTTAATTTAATCCCGAGTCGAAGGCTTTGCTTTTTTAATTTCTTCTGGGATTCCTTTTTCTTTGGTATAGCCTTCTCTTCTGGTTGAGAAACAATTTGTTCCTTTTCAGTAAGGATCGTCTCAGTGTAGCAGGGGGAGCTTAAGTGTAGGCTGATCCATCCATGAGCTCTCGTAGTCCAAGGCCACATACTGGGGACTTTGTTCACCTTGATATTCAAATTGACCAGAGAATGAATACACATCTAAACCATTAAGGTCAGCATTGCTTTCTGTGTTAGTAAGCACGTAGAACAAAAAATTCACTCTTTGGGGGCCGCTCTGGTTTTGTTGATACTTTCTAATGTTTTCAGTGTGTTTGGATCTTTTTATTTTTTTATTTTATTGGGGGCTCGTACAACTCTTATCACAATCCATCCATCCATCGTGTCAAGCACATTTGTACATTTGTTGCCATCATCATTCTCAAAACACTTGCTTTCTACTTGAGCCCTTGGTGATCTTTCTTTTTTTCACATAGAAAGTTTCTTGCTATAAATTTCCCTCTAAGGCTAGTTTTTGCTGTGCCCCAAGGATTTTGGTGTGTTGTGT